TGCTTAGTAGGTGTTTATTTAGGTTATTTTTGCCGAAAATTATACAATAATTTTACACTTTGGGAACGATACAAAACCCACGAAAAATTAAACTTGCACACCTAGTTCTTCTTTTATGCTGCAAAAAAGTGTTCAACAATGGAAATAGAAAAAAAAAATTAAATAATATAAAAGCCCAAAATGAACTCAGCATTCATGTTTATGACTCTAAATGTGTGCCCTGAACTGTGTGTAATTGTATCTGGGGTTGTTTTTATCCGTCTTACACCAGTGGGAGGTCATGTGGACTTTGACGATTTTGTGGAACTAATGGGCCCAAAACTCCTCGCCGAAACGGCAGACATGATTGGGATAAAGGAGTTAAAAGATGCATTCAGAGAGGTACGGTGGTCTGACATATCACTAATTAATGCTCTTTCATAGCTTTTAGCATTCATTTAAGTTGTGTCGTTTTGATTGTTGTTAATATTACTTCTCTGCTTGTTATTCTCAGTTTGACACGAATGGGGACGGTGCTATAAGCACCACTGAGCTAAGAGATGCAATGAGGAAGTTATTGGGCCAACAAGTAGGTGATCACTAAGAAAGCCGAGCTGGTGAACTGATTTTTTTGCCCCTGTGTGTGGAGCTCCAGTTGTTCTTCCTGACCTATATTCCTCTTTTTCAGGTAGGTCTTAAAGAGGTAGAAGATATCCTAAGGGATGTGGACTTAAATGGTGATGGACTTGTTGACTTTGAAGGTAAAATGAGTTTCTTCTCCACTTTCCACTGCCTTCAAAAGTATTCATGCAGCTGGAACTTTTTCACATTTCATCACGGTACAAGTCTAAACTTCCAAGCTTGTACTGGGATTTTGTAACTGCAGGTGCAAGGCTTTTGGGGTTTGTCTGTCTCAGCTTTGGACATCTTCTGAAGCAGATTGTTCTGTGCAAAGCAGCTAAGCTCAGTCAGATTGGAGTTAAAGCACTTGTGAGCATCAATTTCTAATTCTTGCTGTAGATTCACAGTTGGGTTGAGTTCTGGGTAGCTAGAGTCTCAAGTCATTTGTGGCCTTTAGTGGCCCTTTTCCACTACCACCTTCTTAGTGCGGCTCGACTCGGCTCTACGCGGTTGTAAGACTTTTCCACTAGTTACGATTAAGTGGTACCAGCCCAATATTTTACTACTTACTTCACTGGGGTTCCAAGCATGAAGACTTGCACTGAAAACATGACACCAGAAGACTGTTGGCCACTGACTGGCCAGGGAGTGGAGTCAGTGGTTCCATCACAATAGTGACTCCCTTGCAGTAATCTGACTCGCCATTTGTACAAAGTCACAGCAGTGACTGAATCTGACAGAAAGCTACAGACTGAGCAGAATGTTTAACATTGCTTCCCTCCATTGTTGCGACTGGAGCATGGAGGTAGACCTGGGGAGGCAGCTCAGGCTCCCCAGGGAGATTGTTCTGCTCTGGCCAGACCTAACCAGAGCAGAACATAGCAGACCATAGTCTGTGGCTTCTGTCAGAGTCACAGAGGACCGTCTTGTTGGTGGAGCTCACCGTCCTGTAGGAGGAAAGCATGATGGTTGTCAATGATCGGAAGTATCCTAAGTATGAGGACCTGTGAGAAGATTGAAGGGAGGATAGAAAGTCACCATGTACCCCTCCGAAGTGGGAGGTAAGGGCTTTGTTGGGTCTTCGTCTGCTCCGTTACTTGGAATACTCAGGAACAGAGCGTCTGAAAGCCATTAAAGATCTGGCAGAAGAGGCAGAGAAGGGTTGAGGAGGAAGGATAGGAGTTTGGGGGGAAGTAACACTTAGTTTACCAACAAGGGCGTGGCAGGGAAAGATCTGTGTCATCGCCCCGCCCCCAGGAGATGTACTGGAGCTAAAGAAGCAGAACATTAGCAACTAGTGGTCTCTAGCTGATGACCCATTTATGCCCAGTATTCAGGAGAGCACACTTTTACAAAGGCACCGGTGGAGGTGCGTCAGGCAGCAATGCCTAGCAGGTAGATCATTAACCTGTATTGTATACGTTGTGTTTGTGTCACGTCCATATCACATTACGGTACTTTTCAGACTGTAGCACAACCCAACCTCACTAACTAAAGTTGTTTGTTGTAATGGAAAACCAGTCAAACTCCGTAGAGTAGAGTTGAGCTGAGTTGAGACGCACTTCTAGGTGCTAATGGAAAATGCCCATAACAGGCTTTCTTCCAGGAATTTAGCTCCATAGATCTTTCCATTAACTCTTTGTGGCTTTCCTATTATGGCTGAAGAAAATCATCCTTACTACATGATGTTATCACCCCCAGGTTTCACATTGCAGATGGTGTGGTCAGGGTGTTAGCGTTATGCGTTTTATGTGTGTAGGCCAAAAAGTTATATTTTGGTGTCATCTGACCAGGGCACAACGTCTCTGTTCTGTTTGTTAAACTTTAAATTAGACTTTCTTTAAAGTATGCTAACTTTTGCAAGGACTTGTATTAAAACTATACAACAGAGCATGGCTTAATTGTTGCATTTTGTCATTATGTCCTCTCTCGTTCTTTTCTCTTTCAGAGTTCGTACGAATGATGTCTCGCTAAGTTCGGACATCGCTCCTGAATGTGAAGCTTCTTCACACTAAAACCACGTCCAACTAAAGGACACGCCAAGATCTACTGAGCCATCGAAATCTAAACGACACTGGAATTCAAAGTCCTCGAATGTTACAGAGCGAGGGTTCCCCTCCCACTTTCAATCAATAAGTGTTCTTCCTGAAAAACTTTTAAAGTTTAACTGAGGCAGAGTTTGCTGTAGCATAGCTAAAGATTGTCTAATTTATGTTTTTGCACTTTAATTGTCACTTAACAACAACTTCCTGTGTGGATAGATTGTCGGTGTCCTGTCTCAGATTCTACATGGTGTAATTAAGTGTCTTGCAAAATGTCACCTTCGATGTTTTCAGCAGCATCAGAATGAGGGACTGAATGTAGGAAAGACAGAACATTAGCACTGTTGAATGTTTATATATTTGCACATCGTCTGTTGTATTAGAAATGTACTTGAAGATACCTTTGTGCAGCAATGGTGCTTCACCAAGAAATCAAAGTGTCAATACCCACACCTGTAATGTAACTTTGTGACCATGTGTAATTTTTCACTGTGCCAGACCTGTACCAATAAAAAAGCATCACTGTCTGACATGCAGCAAAGACAGAAATCTGATCTTCATGAGACTCAAATCTCTGAAATGCCTCCATATTTGTTATCCACTGATATCAGCAGAAGAACAAAGAAAAAGAAGAAGAAAAAAAACTGTAAAAGATGGACGGCTTTTCTCAAAAGCTTAAAAAGTGCTCACCGACACTGACCAGCGTTGATCTGCAGCAATACAGCACATGTTAAGACTGTGTCCTTTTTGTGTTCATGTCTGAATTCACAAAAGCCTGTGAAGTAGAAATGGCTGTTTTTGAAAGTCTGTTTAGGTCAGCATGAGATCACACAAATGTGAACTGTATGTACAGTGGATCCGATCACGTTGTACCTGTCACTGTCGTCATGACTCGATATGTGGTAACGTTCCAAACATCTGTGCTGTCAAACAATTTTTTATGCATGCCAAAGAGAGACATTTACTACATTTAGTATGCACAATTTTGTTTATAAAAAGAGGAAACATAATATTTGGACAAGTTAAACGTAGAAAAATAAAAGGTGTTTACATTTGATCCCTTTTTACTACTGGTATGTCTGTTTTATTATGTGGACTATGTCAAAATATTACAATGTTGGTGAGTGATGTCACTGCAGTTAGTGAGGACAAAGCTAAACTTAGCATCTATTATTCATGTGTGTCACTGATGAAGCTAGGAACCAGCCATGTATGTATTACTTGCAGCAGCGCTGCAGTTATATCATTTCTTAGGTCTCCAGATGAAACCTTTTGATTTTATAACTCTGCTGTGTTCAAGGGAGAGTTCTCATTCATTCTGAGTGAGGATAATTTATAGATGAGTGAGAAAACAAAAGATTTCCGGTATCTCATGAAGAGCTATAGAAGGACAGACTGCAAATTTTTTTACGCATGACGTTATTAAGGACTATAAAAGTTTGACTGAAAGCCATTCAGGCTGGCTTTCAGTCAAGTTTTCCCTAATATTCAGTCGTTGTTTACTTAGATTTTATTTCTATTTATCTTTTACACCATTTGATTGTATTCTTCTTTAATATTTTTATATTCCACTACTATTGTTGTGATTTTAAATCTCAATCTGCTTCTACTTTTTATGACATATGTTTCATAATTTTCGTGTGTACATATGTCTTCCTCTATTTTCTCAAAACACCAGGAAGTTTCTGGGACATTTTTTCTCTTTTTTTTTTTTTTTTTTTCATTTTACCCACTTTGTCGTGTGTTTCTAGCCTGTTCAAAACACTGAGTTACACTCATTTGTGTTAAACGTATAATAATAATTATTAATAATAATTCAAGGACTCGTTTCTGGTTTAAAAATATTTGCTGTTGCCACAGTAACTACTCTCATTCATGTCTTTCTGATTAAGTCTCAAAGGTACAAGAAGCGCGCTGCGTTGGACTCTCCTGATTGGACAACACTTGGACCATACCATATTGGAAAACAAAGGAGGGGGCGTGACATTAGGAGCGTCACTTGTGTTATTTACCTTCAGATTTATTTTTATTTTTGCAGAATATAGAAAGTGATATTTACAACTTGAATTGACAGAGAATAGTAATTAATTCAAATATAAATTTAAGTAGAAAGTGATGGCAGCACATGAACACTGTAGATATTCATCTTTAGCGAGGTTTCAGATTAGTGTAACACTGATTTCATTATTATTATTATTATTATTATTATTATTATTATTATTATTATTATTATTATTTATTATTATTTTTATTATTTATATATTTATTGTTCTAACTAGTCACACTCACCCATGTATATGATATATAAATCGTATTTGTTGAATCAGGAAGCTTTAACAGGAAGCTGTGATTCGGCACAGTGCCTGTCACTCACCGCTAATGGGAAACCTCAGGTTAGGTAGCGCCGCTGTTCCGCCTCCTTCAAACTGGCAAGCCGCTGTAGTTAGCAGCAGCACGGCGAATGTTACTTTGAATATCCACTCATTGAATGAAAGTCAGGGGCAGGCTGTGGCCAGTTGCTGCAAACACGCCAAGGTTTTCTTACAGGGTGGCTTGTGGACGATTGGCGACACTGTGCGAGCATTAGTGCGACTGGTACACCCCGACAGAAAGAGGTTAAAGGCGGTTGTGGAAGGGAAAGGTAAGGGACATTTGCATTTACGTTAGCCAGAGAGGCTTTCATTCACCAAGAATTTCTGGTTAGACAGGTAGGTTAGCTACACTGTCAAGCTAACTAATCAATGTTACTCGCTGATTAAGTATGTTTTTTTTTTTTGCTCATTAATTACGAGCTGACGCGTCGCATACGTGTCCAGGTTAAGTTGGAGCACTTCTCCGTACTGTATGTGTATAACTGTCATTTCCCGCATCACTGCTACTCAGTACTGTTAATATTAGCATAGTGGCTAACTTACGGATATCATGTTCCATGTCACTAAGACACGCTGGCTAGCTGCTTTCGCTGGCTAACCTTGCGTGCTTTTAATGTTCCTTGCTGGAAGAGCTTCCCTTCATTCGGTGCGGAAGCAGTTTGGGCTTCGTTCGGAAAGAAACCGACCCCGGCTGTCTCTGTGACCCAGGAGCAGGGGGAAGACTGCGCGGCGTGTGAAGCAATGCAGCGGGTCACGGCGCAACTCGTCGCCGGGCTGCTGGCAGCGATGCTGTCTCTGCTGTCCGAGCAGTGCTGGGCAGACGGCGGGGGCCCCAGCCTCGCAGAGCGGGTTATCTGGGCTGTGAACGCCGGGGGAGACTCGCATGTGGATGTGCACGGTATTCATTTCAAGAAGGACCCTTTGGAAGGGAAAATTGGCAAAGGTGAGTCTGCTTGATAGAAAACGGTTGTTGTTTTTATTATTATTATTTTAATTCTCTGCAAATGAGCGCTTTTTGGGATTTATTTATCAGGTCGTTGGTGATTAATAGAACATTGCTAAAATGAAGGAGCTTTTTTGAGTCGCTTATGTTCTAAGCAGAAATATCCTCTGCATGGTGTGGCTTCCGCAAGAAGCTACAAACTAATGAAGAGTCAGCATAGAGCGCTGCAGCCCCGCCCCTCTCAACATGGAGAGGAAGCAGGTGATAATATGTCCAATTAGACGGTGGGAAATATACTGTCAGGGCCAGATTTACAAACATGAGGGGCCCTGGGCTGGAGCAAGTTTGGTTCCCTTCCCACTAAACTTTCTCTGTTGTTTTCAGGCTTTCTGAAGGTGAAGTTAGTTCTTTCCTTATTTTGAAATCCATATTTGGGAGCATTTTGTCCTTTCTCAGGAATCAGGCTAGTTTCCTGGGAACTATTACTTCACCCCTGTGTTTCCACAAGGGCACGAACAAATGAGCAGCGTAGGAATTTACCTTGATGGCAGCTTACCAGGAACTTTTGAATGGAGTTTTTCAGAGAAAGAGAGCCAACAATTTCAAACTGGTTTCATTTGTTTCAGTACTAGTCACATCAATTCAAATAAGTCTATAGCTCATATTGTTTCTTGGCATAAACTGTAGTAGATTTGAAATCGTTGACATAGAAGCTTGCAATTGGAAAAGTAAGACATTATTCCCCCTCTAATTGGAATTTTTACTGGAAAAGTCAGAGCTTGGTGAACAACCCTGAGATTATCTAATATGGCTACAGAATCAAAAAAAGTTGCCAAATTAGTGATTTATTAGCAGTTGTGATGTATTTTTAAATCCCATTAAACCAATGGCGCACACAGTGCTGAAAAAAATCCACTTGTGAAAATGTTCTTAGTGTTGGGTCTCCTGTGTTTTGCTTATGTCACTAATAATAGTTGCACCAAGACAAATAACACTCTGTCCGACTTGCAACAGAGCACTCTCAACTCGGGTGTCATGTCTTTCCCAGCTCCAAGCACCGACTCTTGAGACTAATCAAATCCCTGGTTAATCCTGCAGTGAAAGTAATAGCTTAGGCTTAGGGAAGGGGGCTGCAGCCCTCAAGGCCTGCAGCCCTGCAGCCTTTAAAGTCGTAGTGACTTTGAACAAGTTTTAAAATGTAGTTGCTGTGACAGAAGTATAGACGGTAACTACGTTGCTTTTATTTTCACAACGGGAGAGTCTCTCCACCACACATTTAGCTGTCAAATGAGATATTGGTCAACACCTCTGCAGTGCGGGGAGTCACCAGTCCTTACACTGGGACGGTGACGGCTCTGTTCTGGACTCCACAGTAGAAGTGTTTATCTAATAACAGCCAGCCAGTCGAAATAAAATTTCCAAAGTGGGTAAAAAATTCCAGGCTTCATTGGTGAAAGAGAAATTCAGTCCTTTCTAAAAAGTGATGAACACCAGAATCAAAGATGAATGCGTGAAGAATGTCCTTAAAGTTTAAAGTCGTCACGTGCGACGTGGTGATGGTCGAGGGTTAGGTTGGTGTTTTGTAAGATCATTTTGTTATTGGGACAGAAATGGTCCAATGAAGATGGGTAAAACAGAGAGACATAAATGTGGTACACATGTCTCAGTTGTTGCAAAAAAACAATGTTTGACCCGACTGAAGATGAGCAAATAAAAATAAAAAACTGAACTAAGTAGTGGATTGTTGTTTTCAAGTACTTAATACAAAATAATCAGATCTGAAATGTTTAATCTGCATCTGAACGGTCAAGATTATATCCATAATTTTACTTTTTTCTTTATATACAAAAATCACAGAAGACAAAAATAATGGCTGTCAGAAACAAAAAGTCGCTCTATTCAGCTACCAAGTCAACAAGAACTAATTGTTATAATTAAAGTAACTTTTGGTTGTTATGGCACCAGCATCCCACAACATTCAAACACTAATCAACATCAACTCAAGTAAAAAGCGTACTTTGAGCGTTTTGAAGATTAATCATATTAATCTATTTTTCCGCGAACAGGTTGACCTTGTTGGTACTGATTGACAAACATTCACCTGCTAAACTCTTATAAAGCTGTTCTACATTCAGTCCTTTCAGGTGGAAAGGAGTAAATTTTAAGCTTCAGTTTGTTCAGTTTAGATTTGTTTTTTTAGCAGAATTGAGAACAGAGGTAGTGGCATCTAAAAATCTTAATACAGGAATCTTCCACATTTATTTTTAACTTCCATTTATTATAATGTATAAACCTAGACAATATGGGATCAGATAGACGCCTAACACTTCCCAACCTGGTCCAAACTTCACTCAGACGGTTATTTTCCGCCTGTAGTCCTCGCTGAGAGTCGAGCAGTTTATTTCTGACTGCCTCAAGAAGGGAACACAGAGTGATAACCTTGTTTCAGGCAGAATGAGATTATTCAGATGTGTTTTGGAAAAAGGGTCACTGGTTATGTAATTTGGACTCTTTGCTTGACATAAAACATTGTCCGGTTTTGGTATGCGAGAAATCCTGTGAGCCTGACTCTGTCCTCCTCTGTAGCATCTGATTATGGGGTGCGTCTGCCAATCCTACGCTCCAGTCCCGAGGACCAGATTCTCTACCAGACGGAGCGGTACAATGAAGACACTTTCGGGTATGATGTCCCCATTCGTGACGACGGAGACTATATACTAGTCATGAAATATGCAGAGGTTTACTTTGCACAGTCGCAGCAAAAGGTATGGCGGTTTGTTACTCAGACATGCTGACGTCACGTCGTTTGTGTGTTTGCTTGTTGGTGTGTTGAGGGGCTGGAGTTCATACATGTTGACTGATTTGACAATGTGTGTCCCCAGGTGTTTGATGTCCGTGTAAACGGCCACACAGTGGTTAAGGACCTGGACATCTTTGACCGAGTGGGCCACAGTACCGCTCACGATGAGATAGTACCGTTCTCTATTAAAAAAGGCAAGCTAAGCGTGCAAGGCGAGGTGTCCACCTTCAATGGCAAGCTCACGGTGGAGTTCGTAAAGGTGAGTGGAGGTTATGTGGGGAGACGGCGTATTTCTTTAATTTTTTATATCACGGTTGGTCAAACTTTGATTGATTTATTATGTATGATGGGGGGCATTTTACCGAGGGGAGCATCCACAAATCAGCCTCAATTCCCTGACTTTCTGTTTCTCATTCAATCAGTTTTAATTAATCAGTGTAGATGTGTCAATAAGTTTGAAAGGCTAATAAATATATTCATAAACACAAAAGCAAAGGATATTATATCTATAATTTCAATGTGTTTTAGTTAGTTTTATAAACACACGATATAGTTCCAGTTATATTTTCTGCTTTTCTTTGTCAGTTAACAATAATGTTTTCTCAAATGCAGTTTTCATTATCTTGTTAGTTTCTAGTTTACTGTAAAAGCCTCAGTCTGCATGCATGTGGTTCACAATAGTCACTCCACTGCTACCAACTTAGTCGGCCAAAATCAGAATCAGCAGGTCAGACTTTTTAAAGATCGGTGATTGGCCAGACAGCTGCAGCCGGTGCATCCCCGGTTTCAACTGTTTAATTGAATCTTTAGGTTTTTGTATCCTTTGACTTTTCATAAACGTGTCTGTGATAAAAGTTGTCCGTTGTATCAGATCTGTCGGAAACGTGCAGATTTTCTTCTGCATATCACAGCAGTTGTCACAGTCAGGCGTTCTGGGCAGCAATTTCTTAGTTTTACCTCTAACAAGTTATTCACTGAAATATGATTTCATGCTCTGATAAATGGTTGCACTATATAAGCGTTCAGACTCCAGAGTTTTTGCTAGATTATTTTGGGGTGTTTTTAATTTAGTTTTCATCAACTTTGTTTTCTAACAATCCTTAAATCAAAACAGAGAAAAGTACCCACGATTATTTTCACTGCAACAGGAACTTTTGCTTTCTGTTTCACTTCATTTTAGTGATTTTTAATTTTTTTTTTTTTTTTTTTTTTTTTTGCTGCATCCATTTCCTATAATTTCCTGATATTCACTTCTATTCACTTAGTTTGTTGCATATTTTTTTAATAAAACTGCAGCCTTAGTAATAGTTAACCCAAAATGTTTTAATTGTAAGCTGTAAACTTGGATTTGTGTCCTAAAGTGAAGTGAAAGATCTGATTCACCTCATGTTTACAGCAACTGGTACCATCAAAAACCCCAGACATAGATGGATTTTTTTTTTTTAAGAAACAAAAAATAAATTGCTTTGGTAAAAATCTGAATATACTCTGTTGATCCCCAAGGGGAAATTAAGAAGATACAAATAAAAAAAAGACTGGCACAGACTGTGAAGCACAGAGGTGGAGGAGTTATGATCTAGGCTTGTTCTGTAGTTACATGATTAAACTGTCTCAGTATTTTCTGAACAGGCGTGACCCGGTCAGTCTGAATGTTTGTCAGCGATCCCACCCATAACAGCAGATCTACAGCAGAATCAACACTCGGGGCGTTTCAGTCTTTCTTCATGCAGAGCATTTAGGCCATGTGTCTACCTGAACCAAAGACTGCAGAGTCTGAATTTTTATTCAGAATTAATCAAAAACAAGTTATATAATCATAAGTGTAATAATGAAGTGGGGCTGGCAGTGAGTCTGTATGTATCTCTGATGATGGTTACACATCAGATGTGTTGAGGTGCACAACTAGCTTTAAAACCCTGCAAATAAAATGACTCACCAGTTCTACATCACTGCATTAGCCCAGGCTGACTTTAAAATAGAAAATGCACAGCCAGCATTTGATTTAAGCTAACTTTGCTTCTTGCCATATAAATTATACACACCCCTGATTCACACTCTTTGATGCAGGGAGTTCAGGAGCTATTTACAGATTGGTGCATGCAGGGATTAAAAATAATAATAAAAACCAAAAGGTTGGCAAGCAAATGAATTTAGGCTGAAGTGGTAAAAGGTGACGTGTTCTAAAAAAAGTTTTTACAGCAGTTTTTACTTTTTTTTCCATCTTGGAGAATAATTGAACACACTTTCATTCCCTCCCTCTGAAACTAGGCACACTTACTGTTCTACTTCCAAATCTTAAAGCACCGCTCCGGGGAAACTCGGATTAGGTTATTAAGGCTGAGGGGGAAAAAAAAGAAACAAAACTGTTTTATAATTTCTATAATCTTGAACATTGTAGCATGATTCTCTAACCCTTTCATCTTTAAAACTCTGCTCTGTGATTCAGGGTTACTATGACAACCCCAAGGTCTGTGCGCTCTACGTCATGAAGGGGACTTTAGAAGGTGAGCCTCCTAAACACGTTTGGATCTGCGCGGCTCGTGTTCTGAGTCTGTGGCTTCGAAAAGTATTCATACCCCTCGAAAGTGTTTTGGGTGTTTAAACTGATGGATCGCTCATCGCGACTTTCTTAACGGCGGGTGTGAATACTTTCACAAGATGCCGTTTAGTTTGTTACATAAGTACAAACCTGCTTCATGCGCTTTTTAATCTGCTTTTTGCAAGATGTACCGAAGCTTCAGCCTCACCCCGGCCTGGAGAAGCACGAGGATGACGAGGAAGAGGAGGAGGAAAGCGAAGCAGGCGAGGAAGGTGGGAAGAAAAAGGTCCAGCCGGGCTCCAAGTACAGGGTCCAGTCGGGCCCCCGGACGCCGAACCCCTACGCAGCCGACAACAGCAGCCTAATGTTCCCCATCCTGGTGGCGTTCGGAGTCTTCATCCCCACACTGTTCTGCCTCTGCCGGCTGTGAGCTGAAACTAACCAAGGGAGGGGGGGCAGAGACGCCAGCAGGCAGAGCATGGAGAGAGAGAGAGGAGGGGGAATGATGGAGAGGAGGTCACCGTGACAACAGCAGCACAGGTACAAGCATCCACACAGGAGAGGGAGCCAAAGGCCGGAGGAAAATCATGACGGAGGACAGAAAAAAAAAAAAAAAAAAAAAAAAAAGACAAGTTATTGGAAAGCCACTGCCAGACGAAGCGAAGCGACGCTTTATTAGGAAAACGACAAAAAAGAGATGTGGGAAGTGTATTCTGCTCGCTTCTTCGAATGTGTTTCGCATCCACCTCTGCTGACACTTTTATTTTTTTTCTTTTTGAACAATCTTAGTCATTTCCATTTAAAAAAAAAAACTAAAAAAAAAAAAACAAAACAAGAAACCGGCTGGGCAGGATGTCCTGCCGTCATGCAAGAAGCCACAGCTCTGCAGCTCAGAGATGCTCAGGAGCGATTTGGGTCTGGGCCAGTTTTTGTACGGAGCGCATGCTCCCTCACTACTCCTGCTCAGCATCCGGTCAGACGCGTTCGGCTCAAATTGGAAACGGTGCTGCTTGGAAATTGGGTATCTAGAATAGAAAGTGTGAGTGAGATGGTTCGTGTGTGTGCGTGTGTGTGCGTGCGTGCGTGTGCGTGTGTGGTTTTTTTGTTTGTTCAGATCTAGCTGGCCTTCTGTCATCTACCTGCCATGCGTCGCTGAAAGACGGAGGGAGTTACGCTTGAACCAGCTCCGTAGCTGGCACTTTGTTTGCTGTCCTGGCCTCGACATCAACACATTTTATCGCGGTGCGTTAAAATGCATTAAAAACAAAACCGTCTTTGGAGTCGTTTTCACCAGACTCTGATTTGTAGTTGTTAGAAATACCCAACGCATTTTAAGTTGATTACCGCTCCGAACGTGGATCCGTCAGGAATTTGTCATTGTTCAGAGACAAAGTTTATGCTGTGAAATGCTGAAGTATCCATAAAGGTCATACAGGTGCAGCTCAATAAATTAGATGACCATAGAAAACATGTAGTTCAGAAATTTGGTTCTAAAAGTGAAACTCGTGTAGATTCTTTAAAAAAAAAAAAAAAATATATATATATATATATATATATATATATATATATATATATT